AGCCATGGTGCACAGCCCCTTGCTGTCCTCCAGGGCTGCCTCAGTGCAGCCTTCCCCATCCTCCGCCTGGCTCAGGCAGCCTGGCCCTGCCCGCAGCTGCCAGCCTGCGTCTCAGGCTGGGTGTCACGGGTTTCCTCTGTGCCCGTTTAACTTAGTTCTGTCAGTTAAGGGCTGCTCTGTACAGATCCGAGCCTCGGAGGCTCCCCCTCTGTCCTGCTAGCCTCTCAGTTGGAGAGGGGAGACCCAGCGAGCGAGCGCCAGTCCTCCTTTGCCACTCCCTCCCCGCGGGACCTGTCCCGCTCTGCTTTGGCTTTTGTTCTTTCTTTTTTCCTTTTCTCCTACCAGATTTTTGGCGTCTTTGTCTTTTGAAGAGGGTGATGTTGTGTCGGAGTTCCGCAGGTGCTCTGGTTGGCCGAGTGGGTCTGTGGATGTGAGTCTTGGTGCACTTTTTGGAGAGGGTGAGCTAAGAGCATCCTTCTTCTCCACCATCTTCTCTCTCTCCAGGATAAAGCTTCTTGATATTGGCTTTGGCAATGGTTTCTTTGATACGGCCCCAAAAGCAAAAATAGACAAGTGGTACTACAAAAGCTAAAAAGCTCTGTACAGTAAGGGAAATAATCAGTGAAGTGAAGAGGCAACCTGCAAGATTGGAGAAAGTATTTGCAAACTATATATCTGACAAAGGGTTAATATCCAAGATATATTACGAGCTCCCACAACTCAATAACTAATCATCATCATCATCATCATCATCATAGTCAAATTACATCTTCCATTTGACAAGTCTCCATCATGTGAAACTTGATAGGTTAAAAGGATCTCCCACTGGTCTCCTGAATTTATCTTGCACAATTTGTCCTAATATTGTACAAAATGTGAATTGATTCAAATAGAAATTTTCTGTGGAAAAGTGGTTTATAAAATGGAGATTTTCCTTGTCTACTTTTAATCTTCCAATGCTCCTTTTTAGAGTTGCTGCAGAAATTGGTTTCAAGATATTCTTCTCCTTATTTTCCTTTTTGCTTACTTACTACAATTGTATTTTAGAACTAATTACGTTTTTCAAACTTCCATAAAATTCCTGACAATGGAACTGAGGAGAAATTTTAAAGATTTGATGGCTGTGAGAGTTAGAACTTCAAGAGACAAAATATCAAGGGATATTAGACATTTTTTGGCCTTTATTTTTCAACTGCAACTAGTTATGCATCCCCAAAGTACACCTGCACTTTGCCAATGAATATCCTAAAAAAAAAAAAAGCAAGTGGCCAATATGTTAACAAGTGGCTAATTATGCACACAAGGAGCTAATTGCAGAAGTAAAGATGTACAACCCAAAACAGGAAGACCTTTTCAGCACATTAAGTCTTAATAGCTGACAAATATTATATGCTTATCATTTAATAAAGGAAGCAGGAATCATGAGATATCAACAAATATTTATTTATATATGTAGGTTTTTATTTATGATTTTGGGAGTTAATCACTGTGCTATGTGTTGTGGAAGATATAAGATGAAATAGACTCTATTTCTGCCTTAAAGAAACAGAAGTTTTTGCTGAGATAAGACTTCTACACATGAAACAAAGCCAATAATTAAAGATAAATACATTAGAGGTTGTCTCTTTACCAAATATGTTTAAAATGAAATAAAATAAGCTGCAATGTTTTAACTCAGTAGCTTTCAATGTCCATTATTAGTTTAAGAATAATATACTGCCCAAACACATGCATAGGTTCCATGAGTAAACTAAAAGCAATATTTATTTATTTGCTTGTTTGTTTATTTATATAAAATGAGATTAAAAATTCAAGAGGATTTACAAGAGAAAGAGGGAAATGGAGTGGTCTCTATTTAACACTTATTTCTGATGGAACTTTCCCTATAGGGGATTTATGGCTTTATGAAATAAAAGAGAGCTACTGAAGACTTTGAAGGAAAAACAAAAGTTTTATTTTACTTATTTTATCCCCCCTTTTGATTTTTTTATTTGTTTGTTTCTGTTTATTGACTTGTAGTTGATGTACAATATTATGTTATTTCCAAGTGTACAACATAGTGACTCAACATTTACATACATTAGAAATGATCATCACAATAAGTTAAAGAACTATCTATCACCATATAATATTACTACAGTTACTGATTATATTCCTTATGCTGTATATTACATCCCTGTGACTTACTTATTTTATAACTGGAATTTTGTACTTCTTAATTCCCTTGATTTATTTCACCCAACTTCCCACCCCTCTTCCCTCTGGTAACTCCCAGTTTGCTCTCTGAGTCTGTAAGTTTCTTTCTGTTTTGTTTTGTTTGTACATTTGCTTTGTTTCTAGATTCCACATTTCAGTGAGGTCATATATATTTATCTTTCTTTTTCTGACTTATTTCACTAAGCATAACACACTCTAGGCTCATCCATGTTGTTGCAAATGGTAAGATTCCATTCTTTTTAACAGTTGAGTTACATACATGTATATCTCACACCTTTATCCATTCTTTTATCAGTGGGGACTTAGTTTGCTTCCATAACTTGGCTATTGTAAACAATGCTGCATTGAACATAAGGGTGTATATATCTCTTCAAATTACTGTTTTTGTGTTCTTTGGGCAAATATCCAGAAGTGGAATTGGTGGATCACATGGTAGTTTTATTTTTCATTTTTTGAGGAAACTCCGTACTGTTTTCCATAGTGGCTGCACCAATTTAGATTCCTACCAATAGTTCCATAGGGTTCCCTTTTCTCCACATCCTTACCAACATTTGTTATTTGTGGCCTTTTTGATGATAGTCATTCTGACAGATGTGAGGTGATATCTCATTGTGGTTTTGATTTGCATTTCCCTGATGGTTAGTGATGTTGAGCATCTTTTCATATGTCTGTTGGTAATTTCTACATCTTTGGAGAAATGTCTGTTCAGGTCCTTTGTACATTTTTATTTTTTTATTTTTTTTTAATTATTTTATTTTATTTTATTTAACATTTTTTATTGATTTATAATCATTTTACAATGTTGTGTCAAATTCCAGTGTTCAGCACAATTTTTTCAGTCATTCATGGACATATACACACTCATTGTTACATTTTTTTCTCTGTGAGTTATCATAACTTTTTGTGTATATTTCCCCGTGCTATACAGTGTAATCTTGTTTATCTATTCTACAGTTTTAAAATCCCAGTCTATCCCTTCCCACCCTCCACCCCCCTGGTAACCACAAGTCTGTATTCTCTGTGAGTCTATTTCTGTCCTGTATTTATGCTTTGTTTTTGTTTGTTTATTTGTTTTTGTTTTTTAGATTCCACGTATGAGCGATTTCATATGGTATTTTTCTTTCTCTTTCTGGCTTACTTCACTTAGAATGACATTCTCCAGGAGCATCCGTGTTGCTGCAAATGGCATTATGTTGTCGGTTTTTATGGCTGAATAGAATTCCATTGTATAAATATACCACATCTTCTTTATCCAGTCACCTGTTGATGGACGTTTAGGCTGTTTCCATGTTTTGGCTATTGTAAGTAGTGCTGCTATGAACATTGGGGTGCAAGTGTCATCCTGAAGTAGATTTCCTTCTGGATACAAGCCCAGGAGTGGGATTCCTGGGTCATATGGTAAGTCTATTCCTAGTCTTTATCTGACATACATTTCAAAAATTTTCTCCTAGAAGAAATAAAAGCAAGAATAAACAAATGGGACCTAATGAAACTTACAAGCTTCTGCACAGCAAAGGAAACAAGAAGTAAAACAAGAAGAAAACCTACAGAATGGGAGAAAATTTTTGCAAGTGAAACCGACAAAGGCTTGATCTCCAGAAAATATAAGCAGCTTATGCGACTCAATAAGAAAAAAATAAACAACCCAATCCAAAAATGGGCAGAAGACCTAAACAAGCAATTCTCCAAGGAAGACATACAAATGATCAAAAAGCACATGAAAAAATGCTCAATATCACTAATTATCAGAGAAATGCAAATCAAAAC